GGCAGGAGAATCGCTTGGACCCAGTAGGTGCAGTGAGCCGAGATCATGTCATTGGACTCCAACCTGGGTGACAAGACGAGCGAAACTCCATCTCAGAAAACAAAAAAACACTTTCCTTTTAGCTTAGCTCAGTGATTCTCAAACTTGAGAAAAGTGAGAAGACTGGACCGGGCTGGGCGTAAACGTGGCCATGCGTTGTCCTAGACGTCGGGACCCAGTGGTGAACAGGACAGACACAATAGCCGTTGGGAAGTTTCTGTTCTGACAGAGAAAAGGTAATAAATGAAATTTTCACTCAACAGATATGAGTCATTATAACTATTTTCCATCAAAGGCTTTCAGTATGCATTGCCATTTCACCGTTCAGAAAGGTGGCACTAACTTATCCCAGCAATGTATGCTGGTGCCCACTGCCTTGCACCTTCACGGAAACTATTATCGAACCTCTTTGTCAAATATTAGAGTGGCTAAATTCGTTTTCATGAGTATTTGTTTTACAATTTCCCACGTACGTCTTGTCTGTGTCCACAGTGTATCCCCGTTCTTTGCATGTGTTTCTTTATTCTTATTGATTTCTAACAACTCTTTATATATGAGGAATGCTACTTTGTTTAAACATGTTGGTGGCAAATAGCCTTTGTTTCTAATAGAATGAGACTAGAAAAACACAATTTGCCAACAGGGACCACCATAAACCTTCATTTGCTCAACAAATATCCTGGCAGTGAATCCCTCCCTGTCTCCCTCCCTCCCTTTCTCCCTCCTTCCTCCCTTTTCCCTTTCTCTCCTTCTTTCTTTCTTCTTGCCCTGTTGCCCAGGCTGGAGTGCAGTGGTGCAATTATAGCTCACTGCAGCCTCCAACTCCTGGTCTCAGGTGATTCTCCCACCTCAGCCTCCCAAGTAGCTGGGACTACAGGAGTGCACATCATCATGCCCAGCTAAGTTTAAAATTCTGGCCAGGCGCAGTGGCTCACAGCTGTAATTCCAGCACTTTGGGAGGTCGAGGCAGGTGGATCACTTGAGGTCAGGAGTTTGAGACCAGCCTGGCTAACATGATGAAGCTCCATCTCTACTAAAAATACAAAAATTAGCCTGGCGTGGTGATGCATGCCTATAATCTCAGCTACCCTGGAGGCAGGAGAATCCCTTGAACCTGGGAGGCAGAGGCTGCAATGAGCCGAGAATTTGTCATGCACTGTAGCGTGGGTGAAAGAGCCAGACTCCGTCTCAAAAAAAAAAAAAAAAAATTTTTTTTTTGTAGAGTCAGGATGTTGCTATGTGGCCCGGGCTGGTCTTGAAATCCTGGCCTCAAGCGATCCTCCTGCCTCAGCCTCCCAGAGTGCTGGGTTTCCAGACAGGAGCCTCCGTGCCCGGCCTCTGGCCCATTTTTAAAAGTCTATTCCTCTTGCTTCCTGCTGAACTCCCTTAAAACTTACTCGTCCATCTTTGTCCCCTGAGACAGCCAGAGGGGACGTATGGTAATTACCGCTCAGAGCCCCCGCCCACCCACTAGAGGGCTCTGAGATTCTACAGTGTTCAGGAGGACGGAAAGCAGCCGCGCTAAGATTCTAGGAGTCTACATTTTCAGTGATCCCACGATTCTGAGCCTCCCAGACCCCAGAGCTCAGGGATTCTCTGAGCTTGTCACTGTCTGCCTGGGTCTTCCGTAATTGCCCGCAACAGATAATAGGAGCGTCTGGAGGCAGAAGCCGTGATCCCTGTAATCCGTAGACCCAGGCAGAGGGCCGGTCACTGGACTCGCTGGACGCCACCAGGCTTTTCCTAACAGCTTAATGAGAAAGTCAGAATTAACTGGAAGTGGCACCCAGCACTCCCAGGGCTCAGCGAGGCCTCCCTGTTTTAAAGCCAAGGGTCGGCCGGGCGCGGTGGCTCACGCCTGTAATCCCAGCAGTTTGGGAGGCCGAGGTGGGTGGATCACAAGGTCAAGAGATCGAGACCATCCTGGCCAACATGGTGAAACCTCGTCTCTACTAAAAACACAAAAATTAGCCGGGCGTGGTGGTGCTTGCCTGCAGCCCCAGCTACTCGGGAGGCTGAGGCGGAAGGATCACTTGAACCCGGGAGGTGGAGGTTGCAGTGAGCTGAGATTGCACCACTGCGCTCCAGCCTGGAGACAGAGCAAGACTCCATCTCAAAAACAAACACACAAACAACAACAACAGAAAGCCAAGGGTCCCCAGGCCTCCCCTTGACCTCCTTGGACAACCGGCAATTATGATGGGCGAGGCCTGGAATTCAGCTCGAATAGGGAGGTGACTGGGGCCGCGGTGACCTAGTTCTTCAGGTTGAGCCAGCCCGCCCACCTTCCCCGGAGTCTGCGCATCCCAGCCTGGACTCTCATTCTGCCACTCCTCCTCTCTGGGCCTCAGTTTCCCTCCTTTGTTCAAGGAGGTCAAGGATCGTGCCAGCCTCCTGCTTTGCTGTGTTTCTTGCGTGTCAGTTTCGTGGCACGTGTATCCGGCTCTCGTCTCTCTCTGCGCACACGGATACCTTCCCAGAAAGGACGCTGCTGGCTGATACCTTTTTCAAGCAGCTATTGTCAGAGAGCTCCCACCATTTCACACTCTGACCCCCGCCAGCATGAAGCTGCTGCTCCCTCAAAACCCCGGCAATGCAGTGAATGAACGCCCAGACTTTTTCATCTGTGCCAGCCAGACAGATGAAAAGAAAAAAAAATGTATTTTATGGTAGTTTTATTTTACATTTAGGTTACCATGAGCGAGAATGAACTCCCTTGCCGGTGCTCAGAAGGTACTTGTATTTCCTTTTCAAAAACCGTTCATGTGTGGTGGTTTATGCTTGTAATCCCAGCACTTTGGGAGGCTGAGGTGGGAGGACCGCTTGAGTCCCAGGAGTTCGAGGCCAGCCTGGGCAACATGGCGAAACCCTGTCTCTACTAAAAATACAAGAAATTAGCCAGGAGGGGTGGTACAAAGTTGCAGTGAGCCAAGATTGCATCAGCGCATTCCAGTGTGGGAAACAGAGCAAGACCCTAGCTCAAAAACAAAACAAAAAAACCATTTGTGTCTCTTACCATTTTTTTTTTTTTTTGAGACGGAGTTTCGCTCTTGTTACCCAGGCTGGAGTGCAATAGCGCGATCTCGGCTCACCGCAACCTCTGCCTCCTGGATTCAGGCAATTCTCCTGCCTCAGCCTCCTCAGTAGCTGGGATTACAGGCGTGCGCCACCACACCTGGCTAATGTTTGTATTTTTAGTAGAGACAGGGTTTTACCATGTTGGCCAGGCTGGTCTCGAACTCCTGACCTCAGGTGATCCACTTGCCTTGGCCTCCCAAAGTGCTGGGATTACAGGAGTGAGCCATTGTGCCTGGCCTCTCACCCATTTTTCAATTGGCTTGTTAATCCTTATTGATTTCCAGATGTTCTTTACATATTAAGGAAATTAGTCCTTTGTCCATCATGTTTTGGAAACCTTTCCGTCTTGATATTGCCTGTTGATATTCTAGTCTTTTTTTCTTTTCTTTTTCTTCTTCTTTTTTTAAAGATGAGGTTTCACCATGTTGGTCAGGCTGGTCTCAAACTCCTGACCTTGTGATGCACCCGCCTCAGCCTCCCAAAGTGCTGGGATTACAGGCATGAGCCGCCGCGCCCCGCAATCTTCTAGCATTTTTAATGTGTATATGTGTGTAGGAATTTTATATGTGTTCGGTTATTAATTTTTTTTTTGAGACAGTCTCATTCTGTCACCCAGGCTGGAGTGCAGTGGCACCATCTTGGCTCACTGCAACATCTGCTTCCCAAATTCAAGTGATTTTCCTACCTCAGACTCCCAAATAGCTGGGATTACAGGCATGTGCTACCACGCCTGGAGAATTTTTGTGTTTCTAGTAGAGATGGCGTTTCACCATGTTGTCCAGGCTGGCCTTGAACTCCTGACCTCGGGCGATCCACTGACCCCAGCCTTCCAAAGTGCTGGGATTACAGGCCTGAGCCGTGCCCAGCCCAGTTATTCATCTTTTAATTAAAGGTTTCTTGGCTCAGTATGCTTTACCATTATTTTGATTTTTAACTCCTATGTTTTTTCCTAATAGTTGTATAGTTTCTTTCACTGCGGGCAAGAGTCGAAGGGGACATTTGGAATTTCATTTCGTTTGAGTTACCTTTACAATCTCCATCTGAACAAAAAGCAACAACAAAAAAATCTGGACGTGGTGGCTACGGCCTCACATCCCAACACTTTGGAAGGCCAAGGCAGGAGGATGGCTTGAGCTCAGGGGTTGGACACCAGACTGGGCAACATAGGGAGACCCTGTGTCTATTAAAAATAATAATAACAGGGCCAGGTGTGGTGGCTCACGTGGTTAATCCCAGCACTTTGGGAGGCTGAGGTGGAGGACTGCTTGACGTCAGGAGTTCAAGACCAGCCTGGGCAACACAGCCAGATCCCGTCTCTACAAAAAGTACAAAAATGAGTTGGGCATGGTGGCAGCGCCTTTAGTCCCAGCTACTCGGGAGGCTGAGGCGGGAGGATCGCTGGAGCCCGGGAGGTCGAGGCTGCAATGAACCATGATTGCGCCACTGCCTTCCAGCCTGGATGACTGAGTGAGATTCTGTCCTTAAGAAGATTAAAAAAAAAAGAAATCAAATAAAGGGCGGGGCGCGGTAGCTCACGCCTGTAATCCAAGCACTTTGGAGGCCAAGGTGGGCGGATCACCTGAGGTCGGGAGTTCAAGACCAGCCTGATCAACATGGCGAAACCCCGTCTTAAATAAATAAATAGAAAAAAAATTTTTTTTAAAAATACGCAAATAAAATAACGTGGCCCCCCAGCCTCCCTCCCTGGCGCCTCCACTCTGTGACCCCCCTGGACATTCCGGGATGACCGTGTCGCGCGTGGCCACCTCGCCTCTAGACCCCTGGGCGCACTCTGAGGCCAACAGTTGGGAGCGGACGCCTGAGGGGACTGCGGCACCCGCCTCGCCCTGCCGGGCCGGGCCTGCCCCTTGCGTGCCGGGCGTGTCCGGGCGGGCGGAGCGCGGGCGTGGCGGGGGCGGGCGGCCGGGCCGGTCGGGCGGGTGCGCGGGGCGCGCGGGGCCCGGGGCCGGAGTCGGAGCCCGGCGGACGCCATGGAGGGGCTGCGGCGGGGGCTGTCGCGCTGGAAGCGCTACCACATCAAGGTGCACCTGGCGGACGAGGCGCTGCTGCTGCCGCTGACCGTGCGGCCGCGGGACACGCTCAGCGACCTGCGCGCCCAGCTGGTGGGCCAGGGCGTGAGCTCCTGGAAGCGCGCCTTCTACTACAACGCGCGGCGGCTGGACGACCACCAGACCGTGCGCGACGCGCGCCTGCAGGACGGCTCGGTGCTGCTGCTGGTCAGCGACCCCAGGTGGCCGCGGGGCCCGGGTGGGGGGCGGCGGCCGGGGACCCCCCACGGAGAGCGGCTGGGGGGGGGTAAGGGGGGGCGGGGAGGCTGGGGCCCAGGGCGGCCTCCCGGGCCCGCGCCGCTTTCCCTCCTCGCGCTGCCCACTCGGCCTCTCTCCCGACCCGGCCCTGCCGGTGTCGCTTCCGGGCTCTCTGTCTCTGCTGTTTTTCTCCCTGTCTGTCTCTTGTTTCTGTCACTGTCTCTCGTCCTCTTTGCTCGCTGGTCTCAGTCTCTCACCTCTGTCTCTTGTCTCTCTTTGGTCTCTCTGTCTCTCTCATCTCTCTTCTTTTTGCCTCGTCTCTCTCTTTTTTTTTTTTATCTCTGTGCCTCTCCTCTTTGTCCCTTTTATCTCTGTCTTTTATCTCTCTTTCATCTTTGTCTCTCTTACCTCTTTTGTTTGTGTCTCTCGTCTCTGCCGCTCTCTTTTATCGCTGTGTCTCTCGCCTTTGTCTCGTCTCTCTCTTTTGTCTCTGTCTCTGCCCATTTGGTGTCTGTGTTTTTCCTCTCTGTCCCTGTCACTGATGATTGTTGCCTGTCATTGTCTCGGTGTCTCTGGCCACTTCTGTCTCTGCTGTTTTCCTTTCCGTCTCTCCCTCATCTGTCTCTCTCCCTGTTTTGGTCTCTGCTTTTTTCCTCTGTGTGTATCTGTCTCTCTTCCTCTGTCTCTGCTCGTCTCTGTCTCTGCTGTATTCTTTCTCTGCATCTGCCTCTTTTGTCTCTGTACATTTTCATCTCTTTTTCTCTGTGTCTCTGTTTCTCTGTCCATCGGTCTCTGTCTCTGCTGTTTTCTCTCTCTGTGTCTCTCTCTTTTGTCTCTGTCTGTGTCCCTGTCCATTTCTCTCTGTGTGTGCCCGCATCTCTTTCTGTGTCTCTGTGAGTCTCTCCTTCGTCTCTGTGTCTCTGCCCATTTTGGTCTCTGCTTTCTTCTCACTGTGTGTCTCTCCGTTTCTGTCTCTGCTGTTTGTCTCTCTGTGTGTCTCTTTTGTCTCTGTTTCTCTGCATGTCTCTGTCCATTTCTGTCTGTTCTCGCTGCTTGTCTCTCTCTGTCTCTGTCATTTTGATCTCTGCTCTTTTTCTCTCTGTGTGTCTCAATATGTGTGTCTGTCTCTGTCTCTGGGTCTCTGTCTCTGTATTTCTCTCTGGGTGTCTCTGTGCATTTGTCTCTGCTGGTTTTTGGTGTCTCCCTTAGGCGGTGTCTCTGTCTTCCTTCTCTGGTCTCCCCCACCCCTCATCTTTCACACAACCCCACCCTAACGTCTGCTGCCCACACTAGACTTGGATATCTGGGTCCCCAAAGAGGTCCCCTGGCCACGGTGACCCTCAAGAGAGGCGTCTTCTGGCCCAAGGAGGGATGTGCAGAGAAGGGCGCTGGGGCCACGGGAGCAGCTCACTGGAGGCCTGGGGCAGCTCCGGGAAATGGGTCGGGGGTGGCCGTGAGGTGGTGAAGATGGCAGAGCCTGGGACGGCCCCCTTGGGAGCGTCGAGCAGGAGAGGGACGGGGGCCATATGTGTTATCCTGGACTTTATGGGGGTCACACTCACCGATCGTCTAGAGGCTTGAGTCACCAAGCCTGGGTTGACGTTTTGAGGGCAGGAGCCTCAGACGCCATCCTGTTGCAGGAGGCTGGGGCTGGAGTTGGGGCGGGAGAGGCCCCCTCTTGAGGGACGATCTTAGGGCAGGGGGAGCCTGGGGGGATGACGAGGGATGGAGGTTCAGAGCGTGGGGCTGGGAGAGGGGTTCTTTCTATGAGGTCTGGGGGCTGGGTGACCCTCAGATGTCTAGACTGTAATCATGCAGTACAGAGTCAGCATTTATTGTGCGCCTACTGTGTGCCAGGCTCCATGCTGGGCGCTGACATTCAGCGCCGACCCCGTGAGACTGGATCTCCCCTTCACAGAGCCTGCAGTCCTGTGGGACGAGAACCAAATAAAAGCCCGGGAGAGTGTCAGCTCAGAGTCAGTGCTGTGGGGGACGCGGGGAAGGGAGAATGTCAGCTCAGAGTCAGTGCTGTGGGGGACGCGGGGAAGGGAGAATGTCAGCTCAGAGTCAGTGCTGTGGGGGACGCGGGGAAGGTGGAGAGAGGTCAGTGGCTGGGGGCCGCCTCCCCGGAAAGGTGTCATTTCAGGCTGTGATGTGGAGGAGGTGGTTAAATAGTCAGGAAGGGCCTTCCAGGCAGTGGAAGAGCCTGTGCAAAGGCCCTGAGGCAGGACCACACCTGGCATGTTGAAGGAACAGCGAGGAGACCTGTGTGGCTGGAGCAGAGTGAGCGAGGGGGAGAGGGAGGAGGGGAGGGCAGGGGGACGGGGCAGTTCAGGCAGCGCCTTGTGGACTGCAGGGAGGAGTTGGGCTTTGACCCCGAGGGAGGTGGGAGCCGTGGAGGGCTGTGGGCAGGGAGACATGGAACCTGACTCGGTGCTCGTAGGCACCCCCTGGCTGCAGCAGGGAGAACAGACTGTGGTGGGGGAGGGCTGGAGACAGGAGACCAGGGTGCAGGTCCCAGTGAGCCGTGTTGGAGGCAGAGGAGCCTTCAGAGGAGACAGTTTTGGCCGGGTGCGGTGGCTCACGCCTGTCATCCCAGCACTGTGGGAGGCTGAGGTGGGAGGATCACCTGAGGTCAGGAGTTCGAGACCAGCCTGGCCAACGTGGCGAAAACAGATTCTACTAAAAATACAAAAATTGGCCGGGTGTGGTGGTGTGCCCCCGTAATCCCAGCTACTCAGGAGGCTGAGGCAGGAGAGTCGCTCGAACCTCCTGGAGGTGGAGGTTGCAGTGAGCCGAGATCACGCCACTGCACTCCAGCCTGGGCAACAGAGTGAGACCCTGTCTCAAAAAAACAAAACAAAACAAAACAGTTTCAACCTCCTTTGGGCTGCCACCCCACCCGATGCCCTGCCCTTGGCCCCACCCCGACCACACACACAGCTGGGGTCAGTGACAGAGTCCAGTTCTGTCTTCAACAGACAGGGGCCCCGATCTCCCTTTGCTGTTCACTGGCTGTGCGTCCCGAGGCAGCTAACCCACCCTCTCTGGGCATCAAATGGGTTCTGACCCGTCCCATACCTGCAGAGGCAGAGCAGCGGCTACTGGCCGGTGGCGCAGCACAAGCCAGAGAGGCCTCAGTTTCCCCATCTGAGAAATGAGAAAAACACATCAGACCTGTTGGCCCAGACAGTACCCTAGGGTGAGAGAAGCCGCGTGGGCTGCTCGGGACAAACCCCCCCGGGGCCCCTCTTCTCCCAGCTCCTGTTTCTACACGCTGTGAAATGCGGTAGTGACAACATTTTCTGCCCCGAGGCAGCAGCGTCTCAGGGAGACGGTTGTCCCAGGAACCAGCAGGCCATGTTTGAGACCCTATGAGATGCTAAGGGCATTTTTTTTTTTTAAACGGAGTCTCACTCTGTCGCCCCGGCTGGAGTGCAGTGGCGCCATCTCGGCTCACCACAATCTCTGCTTCCCGGGTTCGAGTGATTCTCCTGCCTCAGCCTCCCGAGTAGCTGGGATTATTGGTGTTCGCCACCATGCCCGGCTAACTTTTTATATTTTTAGTCGAGACGGGGTTTCACTGTGTTGGCCAGGCTGGTCTCGAACACCTGACCTGAGGTGATCTGCCTGCCTCGGCCTCCCAAAGCGCTGGGATCGCAGGCGTGAGCCCCCTCGCCCGGCTGGGTGCTGTCGTCGTTGGCAGTTTGCAGGTGGAGGAACTGAGGCCCAGCAAGGTTTAGCTGCGAAGGGGCGGAGCCTGGCTGAATCCCAGCGTTAGGGCCACGCCCTTCATCACTAACCCTCCTGCTTCCTTGGCGGGAACACGGGTTATTTGCAGGGTTTCACTGGCGTCCGTCTGCTCCTCTCTTCCTCCCAAGCCCCTGTATTTGTTCTTTGGCTGCTTCCCTCAGCTCCGCCTTCAAAGTGTAACCAGAATCCACCCACTTCTCGACCCCCAGAGCAGCCCGGTCACCCCCACCCAGGTCCGCGGCTCCTGCCCTTGTCCCCTACAAGTCTGTCCTCCCACTAGCAGGTACCAGAGGCCGCCTGTGAGCCCCTGAGTCAGGGCCCCTCCTTCCTCTGCCCGCAGCCCTCCATGGCTCCTACCTCCCTCAGGGTCAAGGCCCAAGCCCTTCCCCATGCTTGCAAGACCCTGGATGACCTGCCGGATTCCGTCCCTGCTTTCCCCTCCTCCCTCTCTGCCCCTTGCTCACTCTTCTCAAGCCACACAGCCCTCCTCATTGCCTCCAGGCCTCTGCAAAGGCTGTTCCTTCAGCCTGGAATGCTGTTCCCTCACATTCCCACCTCCCTCTCTCTCTCTCTGCAGACCTCCCTGACCATTCCTGTTTAAAACTGCATTCCAGCCACACGAGGTGGCTCACACCCATAATCCCAGCACTTTGGGAGGCGGCAGGTGGATCACGAGGTCAGGAGTTGGAGAGCAGCCTGGCCAACATGGTGAAACCCCCTCTCTACTAAAAATACAAAAATTAGCCAGGCGTGGTGGTGCGTGCCTGTACTCCCAGCTACTCGGGAGGCTGAGGCAGGAGAATTGCTTGAACCCAGGAGGTGGAGGTTGTAGTGAGCTGAGGTCCCACCATTACACTCCAGCCTGGGCGGCAGAGTGAAACTCCTTCTCTTAATAAATAAATAAATAGCCGGGTGCAGTGGCTCATGTCTGTAATCCCAGCACTTTGGGAGGCTGAGGCAGGTGCATCACGAGGTCAGGAGTTTGAGACCAGCCTGGCCAACATGGTGAAACCCCGTCCCTACTAAAAATACAAAAATTGGCCGGGCGTGCTGGCGGGTACCTGTAATCCCAATTACTCAGGAGGCTGAGGCAGGAGAATTGCTTGAACCCAGGAGGCGGAGGTTGAGTGAGCCGAGACTGTGCCATTGCACTCCAGCCTGGGTAACAAGAGCGAAACTCTGTCTCAAAAAAATAAATAAATAAATAAAAAATAAAATAAATAGCTGGGCACGGTGGCTCAAGCCTGTAATCCCAGCACTTTGGGAGGCTGAGGTGGGTGGATCACGAGGTCAAGAGATCGAGACCATCCTGGTCAATGTGAAACCCCGTCTCTACTAAAAATACAAAAAATTAGCTGGGCATGGTGGCGCGTGCCTGTAATCCCAGCTACTCAGGAGGCTGAGGCAGGAGAATTGCCTGAACCCAGGAGGCGGAGGTTGCGGTGAGCCGAGGTTGCGCCATTGCACTCTAGCCTGGGTAACAAGAGTGAAACTCCGTCTCAAAATAAATAAATAATAATAAAATTGCATTCCACTCCGTCCCTGCTTTCTCTCTCTCCCCATTGCTTGTCAGCATCTGGCTTCTCTACGTTATACTTATTTTTGCCCCCTGTCTCCCGCAATAGGCTGTAGACTCCGTGAGGGCAGTGCCATCCATGTTGTTCACTGCTGGATTCCCAGTTCAGTGCCTGGCACGTAGCAGGCGCTCAGTAAATATTAGTGGGATGAGTTATCTCTGGAGGGAAGGAGTGAGGGCTGCTCAGGACATTTTTCTGGAGCTCCAGCAGTGCGTGGATGCAGGGGAGGGACTCTCCGTGTTGGAGGTGAGCCCCGGCTGCTACGGGAAACGGCACCAGGCGGACACTGGGCAGAACAGGGAAGCCTTGAATGCCAAGGCAATGGCTGTGTTTTTCCTGAGCCTGGGTCTTTCTGTCTCCCTCTTTCAGGTAGCCTGGGCTGGAGGAGACAGAGCCATGACCGAGGGGACCCAGGTACTGGCTGAAGGAACATGCTGGGGTAGGGGACACTTTTGGAAGGTACTTTTTCTGCCTCCTGGGAGCCTAGATCTCACTCCAGGTAAGTCATTCTAGTAGATGAGACAGAGAAAGGACCTTAGAGATTGTGGAGACCATAGATGGGGAAACTGAGGCCCAGAGAGGAGAAGAGACCAGATGTTATTGACCATGACCCCCGTCCATACACCTGTGCTTTGGCCCCTAGAGTAGGGACATGGCCTTGGTGTCTCTCACTTCTCTTTGGACTAGTGTTGCCCCTGACTTGCTGAGTGACCTCAGAAAAGTTGCTTCTCCTCTCTGGGCCCTGTTACCAGTCTCCTTACAACGAAGGAGTGAGCTTCAGTCTGGTTTTGCTGCGCTCTTTGCCTGCAATTCCTGTGACTGCCATCAGGTGGCAGAAAACAGCCAAGTTGAATAGGGGCCATTCCTGTTCCTCTTAAAAGATAGCAGGGACATCCACCGGCGGGGATGGCTGCGGTGTCACTGTCCACATAGCAGGGACATCCACCAGTGGGGATGGCTGCGGTGTCACTGTCCACATAGCAGGGACATCCACCGAGGGGGATGGCTGCGGTGTCACTGTCCACATAGCAGGGACATCCACCGGCGGGGATGGCTGCGGTGTCACTGTCCACATAGCAGGGACATCCACCGGCGGGGATGGCTGCGGTGTCACTGTCCACATAGCAGGGACATCCACCGGCGGGGATGGCTGCGGTGTCACTGTCCACATAGCAGGGACATCCACCGGCGGGGATGGCTGCGGTGTCACTGTCCACATAGCAGGGACATCCACCGGCGGGGATGGCTGCGGTGTCACTGTCCACATAGCAGGGACATCCACCGGCGGGGATGGCTGCGGTGTCACTGTCCACATAGCAGGGACATCCACCGGCGGGGATGGCTGCGGTGTCACTGTCCACATAGCAGGGACATCCACCGGCGGGGATGGCTGCGGTGTCACTGTCCACATAGCAGGGACATCCACCGGCGGGGATGGCTGCGGTGTCACTGTCCACATAGCAGGGACATCCACCGAGGGGGATGGCTGCGGTGTCACTGTCCACATAGCAGGGACATCCACCGGCGGGGATGGCTGCGGTGTCACTGTCCACATAGCAGGGACATCCACCGGTGGGGATGGCTGCGGTGTCACTGTCCACATAGCAGGGACATCCACCGAGGGGGATGGCTGCGGTGTCACTGTCCACATAGCAGGGACATCCACCGGCGGGGATGGCTGCGGTGTCACTGTCCACATAGCAGGGACATCCACCGAGGGGGATGGCTGCGGTGTCACTGTCCACATAGCAGGGACATCCACCGGCGGGGATGGCTGCGGTGTCACTGTCCACATAGCAGGGACATCCACCGAGGGGGATGGCTGCGGTGTCACTGTCCACATAGCAGGGACATCCACCGGCGGGGATGGCTGCGGTGTCACTGTCCACATAGCAGCGACATCCACCGGCAGGGATGGCTGCGGTGTCACTGTCCACATCAGGGGTGTTAGGTAACGGGGAAGGAGAACTGGCTGGAAAACCGGAGCGTCACCCTTCCCTGGGCCTGGATTGAAACGGGTTCGTCCCTCCCCTTCTGTTGTTCCAGGGTCTGGGCTCCCAGGAGGACCGTGAAACCCTGGCCTGACCAGCTGATGCACGTTGCTTCAGACACTCCTGCCAGAGCCCCAGTCCCTTATGGACCTAGGACATTGTTGCTCCTGCCCAGCCTACCAGGAGGGAGCCTTGAGCCTTTCAGCTCTGCTGTGTGACTTTGAGGCTTTGGCTCCCCTCCTGGGGCCCTGGGTACCCTGTCTTCAGTGGGAAGCACTGTGCCACTGTGGAAGGCTCCCAGGGACAGCCAGAGGGCATCGCATGAAGAGAAGCACAGGGGAGAGGAAGAGCACTCGGAGGCACTTCCCGTCTTGCCCACGACATTCTCCCAGCCACACCTTTGCCCAAGCTGTGCCCTCTGCCTGGAGCACTTTCAACCTCTTCTCTGCAGCTCTAATCCACCTGGGGCTGCAGCCTCCTACAGGAAGTCTTCTCGGATTCCCTCCTTCCCAGGCAGAGAGCACCTAGCCCTCATTGGGGCCCCCACAGGCCCTTCGTGCAGTGAACAGCCCTGGCTGGAGGGGCAGCCAGTCCTGCCCGAGCTCTTTAGTGACTAAGTGGGGAGACGCCGTCATCGCAGCTCCTTCTCAGGCCTCCAATAGCACCCCATCTCCACCCCAAGTACCTCCCCAGCAGGCACCAGTGCCCACCACATGGGCGGTTTCCCCTTCCCCTTAAATCTGGATGCCTCGCTGTCTGCCAAGGGTCTTGAGGTGGTGGGGGAGGGGGTCTGAAGGGCTCTGGCCAAGCGCAGGCGGATCTGGGGGTGGGGAACTGGGCCGAGGCATGGGAGGTCATCTCAGGACTTTGCAGGCAATGAGTCGTGGGAATTCCAGGTGGAGACCCTCAGGGTTGCACCTCTGACCTGCAGCCACACTACCCTTGCTTGGCCCCTAGGGAGGGAATTGGGGGAGGGGGCACAGGGGCCGTGTATGTCTTCCAGGGCCATGTTCCCTCTCCAGGCACCACGGGCGGAGGCGCTGGAACCTGGAGCCTGGGAAAAAAGAATTGATTTTTTTTTTTGAGACGGAATCTTGCTCTGTCCCCCGGGCTGGAGTGCACTGACATGATCTCAGCTCACTGCAACCTCTGCCTCTCGGGCTCCAGTGATTCTCCTGCCTCAGCCTCCCAATTAGCTGGGATCAGGCCACCACGCTAATTTTTTGTATTTTTAGTAGAGACAGGGTTTCACCGTATTAGCCAGGACCTGACCTTGTGGTCTCCCCCACCCTTCGGCCTCCCAAAGTGCTGGGATTACAGGCATGAGCCACTGCGCCTGGCCAGGAAGAATTTTTTTTTTTTTTTGAGACAGAGTTTTCCTCTTGTTACCCAGGCTGCAGTGCAATGGCACGATCTCGGCTCACCGCAACCTCCGCCTTCTGGGTTCAGGCAATTCCCCTGCCTCAGCCTTCTGAGTAGCTGGGATTACAGGCACGCGCCACCATACCCAGCTAAATTTTGTATTTTTAGTAGAGACGGGGTTTCACCATGTTGACCAGGATGGTCTCGATCTCTTAACCTCGTGATCAGCCCGCCTCAGCCTCCCAAAGTGCTGGGATTACAGGCGTGAGCCACCGCGCCCAGCCATGGAAGAATGTTTTAATGAAGAGTCCTGTTGACAGGTGGACATGTAATCGCCACCACCGGGACAGCTGCGCCCAGACTGCGCGTTTGCTTAGCTTAGCTCGGGGATGGCCGGGCGGGCTCCCGCTCGCCTCCCCTCAGAGCATCTGCTGAATGGGGGCCGTCTCGCCTCCACTTCCACTTGGCCGAGAGGAGGGGGAGATGGAGGGGAGACAGAGAGAGGGGCCCCCCTTCACTCCAGCGGGCAGAACTGCCGGAGCTGCTTTGCAGAGTGACTTGGGTCTTGCTGGCTCCCAGGTGTACCTGGAGGGGGGTCTTCCTATCCCCTCTCCCGCCCTTGGTGCCTAGCCCAGGACCTTGTCCACGGAGACCCCACTCCTGGAGCTCCTCCTAGAGCAGAGTCTTCTGCTGTCTATTCCGCAGAGGGTAAACTGAGGCCCACAGAGGCTGTCAGGGACACAGCAGAGGGAGGCAGCTCAGATCCCTGCTCATGCATGGTTTGCGCCTCTGCTAACAGCTGGGTCACGCGTGTCTGTCTCGAGCCTGGGTCCCCTCCAGCACTCATTTCTCTGTGCTTATTCAGGGACCTGCCTCCATCAGGGTTTGGCTAGAAAACGGGCATTTCGGAATCTCCCCAGTTCCGTTCCTTGGTCCCTGCTCTGTGCTGGGACCTGCGCATGTCTCTTTAGAGCTCCGTCTCACTCAGCGGAGGCCGGGATGACGGCCCATTTCAGAGATGGCGTTCAGCTTGCCCGGGGTCACCACCCTCTGGACTGGTGTCCCAGCAGCCTCTGAACCGAGGGTCCCCAGCCCAGGCCGGGAGCTGGTGGAGGAAGTGGGGAAGGGTTTCCTGCTTCTTGACTTGGGGTGGAGGTGGGAGAAAGCATTTTCAGGGCGTTTTGACATTTAACAAACAGTATGCAAATTGCATGCAGATTACATGCAAATCATCACCCATTTCTTAAGCCTTGACAGTGCTGGCTGGCGTGTTCTGAAATAATAATGTTGGGCCTGTCTCTTGGTGATGACCTGGGGAGGGAGGTGCGCAGCCTTCTTCCTCCCTCTTCCCATCCGAGCCCGTCTCTCCTCCTTCGCCCCCTTCCTTCCCGCTCCGTCTCCATCTTCCATTTTTCTCTTCCTTCTTTGCATCATTTGTCGAAGGCCTCCCTGGCCTGACATAGACATTAGCTGCAAAAGTGGTTTCCTGCAGCCCATTTTCGAGGTTGGAAAACTGGGGTGTGAGCCTAGGGTCCCACAGCCACACCGTGGAAAGCGGCCCCGACGGAGTGTCACCGTGTACCAAAGTGCCAAGGAGGAGAGACGACAGTGGCTGCAGTTGTCGGAGCTGCTCTGAGGAAGCCGCAGGCCTGACAGGGCTTGACAGGGCCAAGGGGAGCGATCGTGGGGTTTCTGGGCCCTCAATGACAGGCTGCTGGTTTTGGATCTGGGGAAGGCTCACACTGACTCTTCCCGCTCCTCCCGTCTGTCTTTCTCCTGCTCCTCCAGCCACATGTCCCTGAGTTCTGGCCACAGTCCCTCCACTTGGTTTGCATGTCCCACCTTCTTTGTTTGGCAAACTCCTATTCATCCTTCAAAGCCCTAGCTTCAATACCCGCTTCTTCATGCAGCCATTTCTTATCCTTCAAGGAGAGCCTACTTCCCTCGAGGTTCTGCTGCTTCCAGTCTCACCTCTGACTCACTCGGGGATCTTCCGAACTGGGAGGTTTGTGTCTCCTCTGAGCAGTCAACAGTCATCGCTACTCTTGGGGTCTCAGGATCACCCAGCTTGGAGCTAGATACAGAGATGCTGTTTTGAGAGGGTACCGAATAAAGATTCAACGTTTGTCTGAAACCACGATCGAGTCGAAGCTTCCTAACTTGGCCCTCAAGCTCTCTTGGGCTTCACTCTCCCCCCGCTATGGTTTTGAGCTGATCATGTCCGTCACCTTCCTCTCTGTCCCCTCCAGGCCTTTGCACAAGCTGTTAGGCCATGTGACCCCTGCCAGCCCCCTCCCATCTCAGGGCTGGGAAGCCTGGGGAAGCCCGCCTGCTCCGTGCAAGGGCCTCTCAGACTCCGGGCTCCACCCTGAGCAAGTGTGGGCCGTGAGGAGTTTCGGGTGAGGCTTGGCAGCCACCATCTGGCTGGGGCCCGCGGCGTCCTCGGGAGGGGCCCCTTCCCTCCTCGGCCGCCCACCTAGTTGGTGCTCCAGGAAGGTCCTAGGGGGCTGATGAGTCCAGGTGGCTCCCTGAGAAGACCTCAGTGGTTTAGCCAGAAACTGCCAGCACCTGGAGTTCCCGCCTCCGTCCCGCCCTGCCTCTCTCCTCTCTCTGTGTGACTCCAGGCTCTGGCATTCTCCTAACTCTGAGCCTTCATTCAATGCGAGATATCAAGACAGATGCTGCTCCAGCTGCCACAGACAGTGGGGCAGGTTGTTGACTGCACAAGAGGACCCAGCTGCAGAGGTGAGAGGGCCCCAGGAAGGAGCCTTTCTTTGTAATTCATTCAACAGCTCCCAGACACCTTAGTGCTCGTTCTGACCTTGCCACCTTTCTTCCTCTCTCTCCTCTCCTCTCCTATCTGTGTCTCAGTCTCTTACGTTATTTTCTTTTTATTGAGACGGGGTCCAGGCTGGAATGCGGTGGCATAATCACGGATCACTGCAGCCTCAACCTCCCCAGCTCAAGCGATCCTCCCGCCTCAGGCTCTTGAGTAGCTGGGAATCTAGGCACACGCCACCACACCCAGCTAAGTTTTAAATTTTTGTAGCGATGGGGTTTTGCCATGTTGCCCAGGCTCTTCTAGAACTTGCGGGCTGAAGCAGTCTTCCCGCCTCGGCCTCTCAAAGTGCTGGGATTGCTGGTGTGAGCCCCCGTGCCCGGCATCTTTTCAGCTGCTCTCTGTTGCTCTGATTCTCTCTGCGGTTCTTTTGTATCTCATTATCTCCACCTCTCTTCCAGGTCTCTCAGTTAGTCTCCCTCTCAGTCTCTGTATTTTTTTTTCCTCAAATTTCCTATTGAAAAAGACACCTCTCCCTGGGCCAGGCTCGGTGACTCCTGACTAATCCCAGCACTTTGGGAGGCTGAGGCAGGATGATTGCTCGAGCCCAGGAGTTTGAGACCAGCCTGGGAAACACGGCTAGACCCAGTCTTTCCAAAAGCATTTAAAAATTAGCTGGGGCTGGGCATGATGGCTCACACCTGTAATCCTAGCAATTTGGGAGCCTGAGGCAGGCAGATCATCTGAGGTCAGGAGTTCAAGCCCAGCCTGACCAACATGGAGAAACCCCGTCTCTTACTGAAAATACAAAACCAGCTGGGCTTGATGGCACGTGCCTGTTATCCCAGCTACTCAGGAGGCTGAGGCAGAGAGCCGAGGTTGCGATATTGCACTCCAGCCTGGGTGACAGAGCAAAATTCTCTCAAAAAAAAAAGAAAATTAGCTGGCGTGGTGGCATGCCCCTATGGTCCCAGCTACTTGGGAGACTGAGGCAGGAGGATCACTTGAGCCTCTTGAGGTTGAGACTGCAGTGAGCTATAATCACGCCACTGTACTCCAGCCTGGGTGGTGACAGAGGGAGACCCTGTCTCTGAAATAAATACATAATTAAGAAATATAACATCACATTTAAAAAAATAAATGATGGAAACGAGTTGGTCGGCATCGTGGCTCATGCCTGTGATCCTAGCACTGTGGGAGCTGGAGGCCAGGAGTTTGAGACCAGCCCGGGCCTGGGCAACATGGCAAAACCCCATCACTACTAAAAATACAAAAAACATAGCCGGGTGTGGTGGCGCACACCTGTAATCCCAGCTACTCCGGAGGCTAAGGTGGGAGAATTGCTTGAGTCTGGGAGGCGGAGGCTGCCGTGAGCCGAGACTGTACCACTGCACTCCAGCCTGGACGGCAGAGTGAGATCCACACACACCCCCAACAAAAGAAGCGGAGGCTGGAGGGCAGGTGCATGGTCCCTGAGACTCCCTGGAAACCCCTTCCACATGCGACCTTCCCCTGAGTGACCTCGGGTGTTCTTTGTCCCTCGCTGGGCCTCAGTTTCCCTGCCTACCCAGGGAGGGAGGTATCTGGGATGGCCAGGCCAGGAGCTGCTTGCATGACATTGGCTGTTTGCTGGCAGAGAAATCCTGACTCATCCCTGTCCCAAATGGATTTGAAAGAACCCTCAAAAGGGAAAACAGTCATAAGGAAAAAAAGCAAAGAGACCTCAGAGCCAAACCCCTGGCCTTGCAGGGTGACGCAGCTGGGGTGGAAGCGGCCTCTCTACCACCCCTTGGATCATCAGGGAAACTTACCCATTTCTTTCCTTGATGGCTCCTGGCTATTCACTGGAGGCTGCTGACTTCACTATGGGGGCTCCAGGCCTGGCCCTGAGGTCTCCTGACTTGGCACTGACCTCACACTTGTGCTTTGAGTTTCAGATCGACTAAACCCCTTGCTGGGCCTCAGGGGTTTTGTTCATAGACCATGTCTTTTCCTTCCTTCCTTCCTTCCTTCCTTCCTTCCTTCCTTCCTTCCTTCCTTCCTTCCTTCCTCCTTCTTTCCCTCCCTCCCTCCTTCCTTCCTTCCTCCCTTCCTCCCTTCCTCCCTCTCTCCCTCCCTCCTTCCCTCCCTCCCTCCTTCCTTCCCTCCCTCCCTCCTTCCTTCCGTCCCTCCCTCCCTCCCTCCTTCCTTCCCTCCCTCCCTCCCTCCTTCCTTCCCTCCCTCCCTCCCTCCCTCCCTCCTTCGCTCCCACCCCCCTCCTTCCTTCCGTCCCTCCCTCCCTCCCTCCTTCCCTCCTTCCTTCCCTCCCTCCCTCCCTCCCTCCTTCCTTCCTTCCCTTCCTTTTTTTCTGAGACAGAATCTAGCTCTGTTGCTCAGGCTGGAGTGCAGTGGCACAATCTTAGCTCACTGTGCCCTCCGCCTCCTGGGTTCAAGCCTGACTCCTGCCTCAGCCTCCCGGGTAGCTGGAACTACAGACACGTGTCACCATGCCCAGCTAATTTTTTGTTTGTTTGTTTGCTTTTTTGTGTCTTTGTTGTTGTTTCTTACTTGTTATCTTTGCCTGGCGAATTTTTGTATTTTGAGTAGAGACGTGGTTTCACCGTGTTGACCAGGCTGGTCTTGAACTCCTGACCTCAGGTGATCCGCTCGCCTCAGCCTCCCAAAGCACTGGGATTACCACCGCGCCCGGCCTGTGTGGGCTATTTCTGTATATGAAATACCCTCTTCCACCCTTTCACCTTTCACCCTGTGATTCGCAGGTTCAATGTCACTTCCTTGGGGAGGCCCCAAAACAAGTCACGTCCCTGTTTTGTATTCTCACAGCATCTTGTTCTTTTCCTTTGTAGCATTAATTATTTATATTATTATTCATTCGATGTATGTTTTCCCCACTAGCCCGTGGGCAGCAGGAAGACGGGGAAGGGGTCTGGTTTGGTCACTGCTGCAGTGCACGGCGTGTAATAACCCAGCGTCAGGGAGTGCTGGGGAGCCAGGGACACCCAGGGACACACCTGGGAAGATGCCCTTCCCAGGCTCGGTGAGGCCCCCTCCCCATCCCAGTTCCGGCCACCACTGTGCCGTGGTCCAGGTGACCAAGGCTTGGGATTGGGATTCCAGGCACTCCGGCTCCTGCCGCCGTGATAAATGGGGAGAATTCAGAATTAATTATTGACTCCTCTGCCGAGCCGGCCGATTTGGGCAGATAAAGAATGTGGGCGTCACTGCATCTGCTCAGCGTTTCTCGGGAGTTTATTAGAGGCTGGGAGGCAGTTGGCTGAGAGGAGCGGTCTGGAAGGCATTGGAGCCAGATGGAGCTGCTGGGCGCAAGGCTGTGGCTCTGCTGGGCCACTTTGGGCAACACACTCTCCCTCTCTGAGCCTTGGTTTTCTCATTTGGAAAAAGGGAAGTAAAAAACAAAAAATCCTGTCGCAGCATCTTGGGAGGCTGAGGTGGGCGGATCACCTGAGGTCAGGAGTTCGAGACCAGCCTGGCCAACATGGCAAAACCCCGTCTCTACTTGAAATACACAAATTAGCCTGGGATGGTGGCCCAAGCCTGTGGTCTTAGCTACTCGGGAGGCTGGAGTGTGAGGATCACTTGGATCCAGGAGGTGGAGGTTGCAGTGAGCCGAGATTGCGCCACTGCATTCCAGCCTGGAATACAGAGCAGATCCTGTCTCCAAAAAAAACCCAAAACGAAAAACTGCAGAATCCGCGAGTTGACTGAAGGCCTCATCTGTCCTCCACCTAGCTGGATAAAATGGGGTGAGAATCAGCGGCAGACTCCCTGTCTCAAGGCAGATTTGTCTCCCGTAGGTGCTGAAAGATGCCAGATGGCAAATGAGTCTCGGTTGTAAGAACTTCTCTTAGACAACAACCACAAAGGACTGATCATCGGTTTGAGCTACTTCCTTTTCCTTCAGAGTCCAGGTTGCTTGATCTTGCCACAAGGGGCACGGCGCTCTCTGGTGGTCAGTGCAAAGCCTGCAGCATCTTAGAAACGCAAATAGGATCAACATGCAATTACAGGTTTCCTGGTAGCTACAGAAAAACAGTCAAAAGAAACAGGAGGGCAGGGCGCGGTGGCTCACGCCTGTAATCCTCAAACTTGGGGAGGCCGAGGTGGGTGGATCACCTGAGCTCAGGGGGCCGACACCAGCCCGGGCAACATGGTGAAACCCCATCTCCACTAAAATACAAAAGAAATTAGCCTGGTGTGGTGGTGCACGCCTGTGGTCCCAGCTACTCGGGAGGCTGAGGCAGGAGGATCGCTTGAGGTAGGGCGGTTGAGTCCGCAGTGAGCCGTGACTGTGCCGTTGGACTGCAGCCCGGGTGACAGAGGAAGAACCCGGTCTCAAA